ACTTGTGTGATGTGCATGGCACTAGAGTACTTCCATTTTCCCTCCATCTGCATAACGTCCCTCTGGGCTGATCCCACTCTTAGTCTACACATTCTATTGGGAAGAATGCAGCCATTTTCCTTGCACCCACTCTTAATTCTAAGTCCATCCTCTTCATAGTGCGGCTGCAGGCCATCAAAAATACAAAGGTGAGTTCATTGGTTGATCTCTTCCATGGACACAGACAATAGGGTGGTGAAGGCCTGAGCGGTGGAGGTCAATGGGGGAAAGGGGGTATATATGTAATACTTTCGACAATAAAGATTTTAAAAATAATACAAAGGTGAGTGACACAAGGACCTGCCCTCAGGGCAACTAACCCTCCAGAAAGGAAGAAAGGCCTGGAATGCATAGCAGTGTGACTGTACTCCTTTATGGGAGCACAAAGAAGGAAGCCACAGGCTTCATTGAGGTCACTGGGGAGGTGTAGGCCAGGTAGATAGTTAGGAAAGAGTGTTCAATGCATGGGAAAGAGCATGTACAAAAGCATAGAAGCAAAGGGGAAAAGGCAGGCCCTAAGTTAGGAGCTGGAGATACCAACATAAACGTACACACCGCCTCCCCTCTGGGAGCCTGCAGTCTAGTGGGGAAGGAAGATTGATACAAGGCAATTTTAATAATGTCAGGTCAGTGCAACAATGACTCCTGGGTCACACACAGGGACATGTCGTTACCTGGACAATGCACAGTGTACCTGACGACAATAAAGTAGTGGTGAAGACCATTCATCTTCAGATAACGGGAGCTATTAAACTTATTTTGGCCTATTAGGTCCTCCACAGGCTGGGTTCTGCCCACCGTTCCAGCTTCCTCTACTCACTCCACTTGAACTCTAGCTACAGCTACATGGGGCTTCTTTTTGTCCTTCAAATGTCCCTCAATCTCTCACATTCAACCTTCCCATATGCTGTTCCTTCAACCCAGACTATGACTATTCCTCTTTCTTGGGCTAACTCCCACACATTCAATCCGAGCTTAGATATAACTTCCTCCGAAGCCTTCCATGAAGCCTGCAGTAGGAGAGTTCCCCCACGGAGTGTCCCCAAAGCATTGTCCACCCTCATCATTTCATTTGATTGGAATAACGGATTTCTTAGCTTTCACCGCAAGGTAAAGCTCCTCTAAGCGGGGATCTGATTGTAATGCTGTCTGCTGTGTTGTCTGGCACCAAGAGCACAGGTTCAATAAATATTGTTTCTATGAACTGAAATAGCAAAGGCTTGAGAGAGGATGGAACTACAACTATGGGATTGTCACCAGAAAGCTGCTGATTTAAGTGGAGAACAGAAAGGAGCTCTCAGAGGAAGAGCACAGAGACAGAAAAGGGAAAGTAAAGGGTCCTGGCAAACAGCTAGAGTGAAAAGAGAGAAATACCAGCAAGAGGGGAAAGCAGATTGAGGTGGAGGAAAGAACCCTGACCGAGTTGGGTCAAAGAAGTAAAAGAAGAAGAGTTTCCATAAGAAGGCAGTAATCTACAGTGAAAAGGACAACAGGAGGGTCAGAAAGTATGCATGAATCATCAGTCTGTTTCCAATCCTAAATTCTCCAAATCAGATAAGAGACTAAAAAGGTGTGGTTGTGTGAATGGTTTACTTTGGGGTGACAATTTAGAAAAAAAAACAAAAAACATTATCCAGACAGATTGTAACTAATTCCTGGTAGCTTTTATTTTATTTATTATTTTAATATATTTTATTGATTTTTCACAGAGAGGAAGGGAGAGCGATAGAAAGTTAGAAACATCGATGAGAGAGAAACATCGATCAGCTGCCTCCTGCACATCTCCCACTGGGGATGTGCCCGCAACCCAGGTACATGCCCTTGACCGGAATCGAACCTGGGACCCTTCAGTCCGCAGGCCGACGCTCTATCCACTGAGCCAAACCGGTTTCGGCCACCTGGTAGCTTTTAAAAACAAAAATGACTTCTAGGTTTAGACTATACTGATTGGGACCTCAGATTTTCCATCAGCTAATAATTAAAAGCACAACTGCCGTCTGCTACAGTACATGTAAGAATATTACAATTTAAGAAGCTTGTATTGCAATGAAATGCACATAAAACTATAAAAATTATAGCATCCAAATATTAGGAACTTTGTGTTGGTGAATTTTATCTATAACATTATATACTCAATTCAAGATATAGTTTAAGAGAGATACTCATAAGCTAAAATACACCCAAAGGACGTCACTGAAAGGCATACCATGAGAATTATGGTAGAAAAAACACATCCCTGTAAATGTCAGCATGGGGGACAGCTGCTGTTTTTACCTACCCAGCACCCATTTCCCATGTTGGCACCACTAGTCTAATTTTTGTTTGGATCAAGTCTTCCTAACTCTAAACTCATGTACCTTGGATAGAGCCTTGCCCTAAACTCCAGTAATGGTTCAGAGCCAGAATAATTGATTGGGAGGCATAGGTAAATGATTTCATCCCGAACAATGAGGTACTGTCCCACTGGGTTCTAAGATGTAAGTTTACAACCCCTGATGTAAACAGCTACCATTGGGAGGAATCTTACAGGAATAAAGCTGGAACAAAGAAAAGTCCAACCACATAACAATGATTGAGCCAATACAGGGCCCTGGACTTTCCAGTCACATAAACCAATCAACTTTCCTGGTTTTGTGTTTTTTAATGAGTTTCTGTCACTTGCATTCTAAAGACTCTTGACCCAAAAAGTTAACCTGGAGAAGATCTACCACTATTTTTATTTTAATTAAAGCTCCCTTTGTGTACCTATGTGAAGAGTTTTATGTTGCTCTATCTGATAAGATGGATAGTTGTAATAGAAAGGCAGATTTGGGAGGCATATAAGAAAAATTTCTCTAACAATTAAATTCCATATAAGAAAAATTTCTCTAACAATCAAATTGCCTAACAATGAATAAAGGTGACACCCTGTTCTCGAAAACATGAATACAGAAGTAGTGTGGATCTGTGATGGTTGTTGAGGAAATTAGCCCACATTGGTTAGAAGGGAGAGAGAAATGTCCAAGGGGATTATGGCCCTAATTTTCAGATTCTATGATTTCCTCCCATTCTGAAAATTTCTCTAACACCATTCTCCACTCCTTCCACCTACCACTAGCCACACACTTCAGACAAAGCTCTCTTTTTATAATGAGACTCAAAATGGAAATCCCTCTATTATGTATAGTGTGAATACCTGCACCGTGTTAAACAGATGTATGCTCATCCAATTTTAAAAAGGGAAGGCAACCAGCATTTCTTTATAATTAATTACATATGAGGCTCCTTATCTGTTAATTCATGTAATCCTAAGAGCCTTGCTGAGTATTTATTATTTATCCCCATTTTACGAATGATGAAACTGGCTGTTGTCCCAGGGAGTGTGGGTGGGGGTGGGGGGGTAGTGAGGGGATGCTAGCACAATTAAAGGCTGTTGCTACCACATCCTCATCCTCTTCCATCTCCCCCTCCTTTTGTTCCTCTTTTTCTTTGCTAGTTATTATGCAAAGTGCAGTAAATGCAATAGAGTTGCATTTGTATGAAATATTACAAACTGAGTATTTACTAAGGCACAACACTTGCAGAGAAAGAAGGGCTCCCTGCCCAGACCCCTCCAAGTAGGAAAATAACAGGCATAGGAACTATTGCTAGCATACACAGTTCGGCATGATTTATTTATTTATTTTATTATTTAGCAGGGACAATGGGGTAGAAATATCCATTGTTACACAATCCTTGGAAGGCCCAAGGCATTTTATCAGGCTTGGGACTGGAGTAAGCAGCAAGATCAAAAACAATGAGAGGCCTGAAGCAGGCAAGTCCAGAGGGAAGAAAGAGCTCCTCAATGGGCCAATAGGCGGGAGAAGGGAGAGAAAAGGAGGAGGGGAGGGGGTGGGGGCGAGTGATTAAGGCACGGCGGTGGCAGATGCTGGGCGGCCCTCTAATTGTGACAGAATGTAATTGGGCAGCGTGCGTGGGAATCACAAAGAAAGCGGAATGTCAGAGGACTCAGCATATGGTAAAATGCTCTATCGTTAATACACATCTATGTAGGGACCTTGATAAATCTTTTTTTTTTTTTTAAGTTTGGAGGCAACACATGGACATTTTCTAATGTTGGAGGACTGCAGCCTCCTGGGAATCAGGAGCCAACTCCATGTGCTAGGGCGGGCCACTTTTCCAGCCTTCCCAGACAATCGCAGACTAGCAGCTGGTGCGGGTCGGAGGGTGGCTGGGTTCCTTCCCGCCTGCTCCCGGGCGCGCACACTCCTTATTTGGTCATCTCGGCTCCAAGTTTGGGAGCTGGCCCCGAAGGTGTCCCCAGACCCTGTCCCCAGAGGCCATCACACGCTCACCACCGCACTGGTGCAGAGCTGGGGAACGCGGGATCTGACCCCCTGCTCCGGGCCAGCACCGCGGGGGCGGCCTCCCCGGGAAGGGCCGCGTCCCGGAAGCCTTTGTCTCCGCGCTCCCCGAGCCCCGAGCGCCCCAGCGCGCCCGAGACCCGGCAAGGAAAACGGACCTGCTCCGCCCCACAAACCCCTAGGGTCCCGCACTACCCCCACCCCACGTACAAGCAGGAGAGCACAGAGCCGCACCACCGCCCGCTCGCAGAACCCGCTGCCAGGAGGCCATCAAATTGCTGCTGGGCGTCTCGCCCCGCACCCCTTCCCTCCCCCTCCCTGCTCTGCAGATCGGGCTCCCGACACGCCGCACCGCAGCCGGGCTCCCCCTGCGCCCCCGGCCCGCTGAGCACCTCCGAGCCGAAGGCGGAAGTCTGCGGAGAGGTGGTGGCGTGGGGCGCGTCCATCCCGCCCCCAGCTCCAACTCAGCCCAATTCCAGGAGCAACATCCACGCGCCGCAGCCGCCCCCGGGTCCTGGCTCTCCACCCGCAGCCCACGATTCCCCGGTCGCTGGGCCTCCGCCGGATGCCGGGTCCGCCCCGGACACCTGGCCACCTCTTCCCAGGGGCCTCGCTCACCTCTCCGCCTCCCGGGCTGGTCCGTAGAAAACCCGGTGCAGTCCGCGGGGGCGGGTTGTCTGATGAGCCGCTCCGAGGAGGAAGAGGCTGAGGTAGGAAGTGATGAGGCACCGAGAAGGGCTGGTGTGCGGGGAGGGGAGGAGGAAGAGGAGGGAAGGGGGTGGTAAGAGTTTCTGCGCTCAGGAAGTGGGCCGCCCACACTCCCAGGGACAAGCCTATGAGGAAGAAACTCGGGGAGTGGAGACGCCCGATAAGGGGACAGAGTCCAGGCAAGTGGGAAAGGGACCCAGACCTCCACCTTTTCGATTGCCGCCACCTTTCCTGCGCGCCACCCGGAGACAGTAGTCCCCAGCCCCCTGCATCTGACGCCTGATCTCCTGCCAAGGTCCCGCTTCTAGCAGAAGAAATAAAGCGCCCCAACGTGCTGAATGCTGAGGTCTCCCAGGAGAAACGGGACTTCGGTTCTCTCGGCCAGGAGCAGGGGTCTCCAGAAATCAGCAGGACAGCAGAATGGTGTGATGTGCAAACAAAACTCATCTTGAAATCCAATTTGTTCTGCAAAGAAATTTTACATGGATTCTGGGTCGATAGAGGTGTCTTCCCTTCTTCATTCATTACTTCCTACTGAATGCAACCCACTTATTCATACATTTCAGTCACTGTTGTTTTCGTGTGTGTGTGTGTGTGTGTGTGTGTGTGTGTGAGAGAGAGAGAGAGAGAGAGAGAGAGAGAGAGAGAGAGAGAGAGAGAGAGAGAGATGCTTGCTGGAGTCCCTTTGGAAAGGAAACCGAGGTTCTGCTGAGGTGACCCAAACCACTCCTAGGGCAGAGGTTGCACAAACAACCACCCAGAAAGCACCCCCTTCTCCAAGGAGGAGTGATCCTGTGGTCCAAGAACACGGTCCGTAAACTGGCTCTCATCTTCCGGGGTCACCTGGAACAAGCAGTTCTCCCGAATAGTGACTCTGGTAATTCTGTAAGCCATTCAGATTCTCCCTTGGAAATTGAAAGGGGAGAATACTGACAGTGAGCCATCTGATAGGAAGGCTGAAGCTGAAAGAGGGCTTGAGACAGGGGGAGTGAAAATGGGCCTCCAGAAAGCAAAATATTTGAGTGAGCAGATACCTGAGGATGAAGTAGGGGCAGGTGGGGCGGGAGTGGTAGACACGGACTCTAAGAGAAGCTGAGACCCAGTGATGGAATAAGATCAACAAATGCCTGCTCCCCAGGGACCTATGAGTATCCAGTCCCTGGAGGGGCACTGGATCCATCCACTTCCCAAACTGTGTTCTACTGACCCCTTCACAGTGAGCATCTATCCGCCTGGGTGTGACTCTGAATGAGCCTCTGTTCCCTCGGGCCAAAAGATTCCTCTTCAGCCTAGGTCTGATGCGTCTAGGTTTCTCATGTCATATGACGCTTAAGGTGACTCCAGGATCCTTTAAGGCCTATTTTTTTCTCACTAAAAGAAATCTGAGAAGTTATACTTTATATCTTTAAAAATCTACATAATACAAAATTGATAATTTTTTAAAAAGATTGTATTTAGCAATTCTCCAAGCAGGACCTGGCTATTTTGGCCAGTGTCCATGATCACAATTCTTCATTCATCCAATGAAATGAATAATTAATCTGTAGTGTGACACTTCTGTTATGACTAAGTAATTAGTGTTTCACAGTATTCTGCCAGCAAGCAGAAAAAGAAATAGATTACCTAAACAAGTAGAAGTCTCTGTTAATATATAACTCTTTAAAGATACTTTGTTTATACATATGCTACACTAAACATAACATAAACTTCATGTTAATTTATAAGGAATTATAATTCAGAAAAGTTGTTTTTTATAAAAGAAATGTTATAGATTTTGCCAATTAATATTTTCATACCTAATTCCTACTTTCAGTTTCCATGCATATGTTTGCCATCTTTTCTTGATATTTTAGGAATATTTTCACCAGGTAACTAAAAAATGTGGAATTTTAATCTAAAAAGCAAAGAAATAAAGTTTATCAAACAGCTGAGAAGTATTCATTAACTATCAAGCATGTGCTAGTCCTAGAGGATACAAAGTAGCTTACAGCGTGATCCTTGTCAAAAAGAACTTTTGGTAATCCTAATCCTAATATATAATAAGCCAGGGTCCGTCACAACCTAAACGACCAAATGGATGACCGAACACCAGGTTAGGGTCCTGGTCAGCACAGCGGGAGTCAGTCTGGGTCCTGGCCGCTGCGCTAGGGAGCTGTGGGAACAGAGCCATGCTGCCATCAGACTGGCCTCTTGGTCCTTTCCCCCGGCCCGCAGGCCCCCGGCCCGCAGGCTCCAGAGCCATGCTGCGATGGGACTGGACCCTACCTGAGAGGTCCTGGATTGTGAGAGCGTGCAGGCTGGGCTGAGAGACCCCCTCACGTGCACGAATTTTCATGCACCGGGCCTCTAGTGTACATATAAAATATTAAAACAATCTTTACCATTTATTTAATTGCATAGTGTAGACAATCATTGTCCAATAGAAATATAATTGTGATCCACATCTGTAAAATGTTCTGGTAGGCACATTAAAACACACACACACATGTGAAATTGATTTAATATGTTTGTTTTAATCCAGCATATCCAAAATACTATGATTACAACCTGTAATGGCTATCTAAAAATTATTACTGACACATTATACATTCTTACTTTTATACTGAGCCATCAAAAATCTATTGTGTTTTATACTTACATTTCAGGAATTTGTGGTGAAGTGTGCACAATCTTGTAATATTCTAAAAGACACTGAATTATACACTTAAAATGATGAGGTTAATGGTATATGAATTATATGTCCATTTACATGTTTTTGAATAAGAAACAATGAAAATGTTATAGGCAATTAGACAGACATGAGCAGAGCAAGGACAATGAGCCAGGTACAGAAACTCACCAGGGCAAAAAGCCCCAGATGCCTAGCAAGGGGAAAAGCAAGAACTCCCCAGCCCCCAGGGTAACCTTTCCTCCCCTAGCATACTGCTGGTCATGTGGTTTAGAACCCCCTGACCTTTTCCTCCCTAAAGATAACATCGAGGCCTCGGTTGTATTTTAGCTCCAGGCCCAGAAAAGCAACAAAACCAGACAAGTGAGGGGCTGCCTCAGGACCAGCTGCATTGACTCACCCCTGTTCTGGAGCTGACCAATCAGTGGAGACCGCAACACTGAAAGAGCACACCCGGAAACCTGATGAGGATTCTATTGAGACCCTCCCCTGAGACCTCCTCTAAGAGGTTCCACCTGCAAGAGAGATAAATAAGCTCAGGATGGAGGACTCAGTTCGTGCACTTCCCCAGGGGAGCTCCCCAGAGCCTCTCCCTTTCCTCTTCTTCCCTCTAAGGGACCTGAGGAGACTTGCAACTAGGGGATCAGTGGGCAGCAGTAACTCATCCTGGGCTAACCCCCTGAACCTGTCTCCAAGGCCCCCTTTTCTCTGACTCTCAGTGAGCCGCAGCAGCCCAGCCTAGGCTCTCCTGTTACTTTTCCCATGCCCTTCCTTGTTTCACCGTCCTAAGTATATTTTTGCTATGTCCAATAAATTCTTACTTAGTTTGCTACACTTTGTCTCTTGATTGAAATCTTTCAAGAAGACAAGAACTGAGGTCTTGTCATCTCCTTGGTAACAAAAGGTTAAGACTAATAGACAATTAACAATTAAGAACCAAACCAGAGAACAAATAAAAATGCTATGGCTGAAAAACAAACGAACAAAAACTGTTGAACAAAAGGATTAATCTGACTACCTTAGGAAGATGCTCTATTTGCTGTATTCCCCCACTGCTCCCTCCTTCTTTTCTTCATTCCTTCAACAAATATTTATTGCAAACCATTATGAGCCAAGCCTGTGTGTCTCTTAGAGAGTGGTCAAAGAGAACAACTTTCCCATGTGAAAGAGAAATTTTCTTTCTCACCTGAAGAATGGGGCTCTTCTAAGCTGGCTTATTAGATGATATACATAATTTTATAAACACCATTATTTCTAGAATTTACACTAAGATGTTTTCTTATTTTTATTTTTTCTTCTTGCCTCTATATATTCTTAAATATATTTTCTCTTCTCTAACCCCCAAATTAGAAACAGTATTTTTAACAAAGCTCAGGTATTATGTGTACCACTCCCACATGATTTCTTCTCTCTCTTTCCCTCCTCCTCTCTGATCATCCCCAACTCCCCTGTTTTCACTACATAGTTTCTAGTCTGCACCCTAACATAACTTCAGGTTGCATAAGGCTTTGGTTTTCCATGGCACAGTCTCCAGTGCCAACCCTACTTGTTCAGCTCATTAGTAGCAAATGGATGCAGCTTTTCAGTATCTCAATTCCAGAGTCACAAAAGAGAGAAACTGATGGACTCAGTTTGGATTGACCCAGTTCAGATAGGCCAAGTTAAAGCTTTGATGTCCAATACATAGGGCTGTTCTTTCCAAAAACTGTAAATGAGACAATTTCTCTGTGAAGGTATGAGAGATGAATCACACCAAAATATGTTTACCATAGACAGCAGCATCTCCATAGATCTGCCATGTACACTAAGTAGCTACTAGCCCAGTGATGGCGAACCTTTTGAGCTCAGCGTGTCAGCATTTTGAAAAACCCTAACTTAACTCTGGTGCCGTGTCACATAGAGAAATTTTTTGATATTTGCAACCATAGTAAAACAAAGACTTATATGTTTGATATTTATTTTATATATTTAAATGCCATTTAACAAAGAAAAATCAACCATAGGTTTGCCATCACTGTACTAGACCCATGTGGACATTTTCATTTGCATTTAAATTAATTGAAATGGAATAATTCTAAAAATTCAGACCCTCAGTCACAGAGCCTCATTTCAAGTACTACTCAATTGCTGCTGTTTTTTTTATCGCACAGAACATGTCTATTTTCCCTGAAAGTTCTATTGACTAAAGCTGTTATGGATGGTAAAAAATAAAAATAAAAGCAACAACATTTGGAAAATTGTTAAAAAGCTTAATAGTTTGATAAACACTATTTAGTTTTTGCAATTCTTCTCCCACTCCTAACCCACCAACCAAAATAATTATAAATTACCTTTGTTCCAGGTTTTCTACTTTTCTGACAAGAAATCTAAATTATTACCTCAAAATGATTACTCAGAAAGGTAAAATCTGGGACGGTCCCAGTCAATTTAGGACAGTTGGTCACCTGACCCATATTTCACCCTTCTCTTTTGTAGATTTGTTTCTTTGGTTTTCAATTCTTCCACTTTCTTTTTCCTGAGTCTTTTTTGTAGCTCCAGTAAGAGAGAGGCTACATTATCCTTTATTGAACCTGGGCCAAATGGTCAGCGTTGCCAGCTGAGAGTTAAAATTTCTAGATCATTGAACTTAGTCATGAGAGGGTAAATGCTGAGTGCAAAGAGCAGCTAAACTGGAAGCTGTGTGATGACAGTGGAGTCAGGTGTCAAGGTGGGCTAAGAAATACAATGACTAGTTCAGTTG